TCCTCGAGAGCCTGACGAAGCTGATCTTCGGTATATTGAGGCATTATATATAGAAGAAGACATGTGCAAAAGATGAGCCCATTTGGACGCGAATTGAAAATGTTGTGATAAAAGGAGGTTGGGGGTGGGCATTGGGTTGTGGTGGATTTTCGCGTTTTTGTGGGTGCCAGAAACAGGGGGGTGCCAGGAAGTGGGTATGTTGACTTACGGATGCGCCCGAAGAAGAACTTTGGTAATGACTGGTTTTCTGTTAGCTGAGATGATCACAAGTCTCAAGACGAGCTAGGACTTGTACTTACTACCAAAGCCGCCGCCGCCGCCGCGTAGGGACCAGAGAAGACCCGGCTCCTGAGATGCCATGACAACAGTGCCATCAAACTTGACTACTTCTGCATCAAGGAAGTTGATAGGATCGCTGATGCCGCCGTACTCGGAGGACATCCAGGAAAGGCCGCCATTGAGGATAGATCCCGTGACTCCGATGCTAGGTGTACGGGCTGCAGGAACTGGGTCTAGTTAGCTTGGATAGTGCTGTGGGTTACACACAACTGTATCACCTGAGTAATCGGGGTCAACTTGTTCCATGAACCCTACTACTTCTTCCCAAGTTGCACTCGCACCAACCGTAGCAATCTTCTTGGTCGAGTCATATTCCAGGCTCTTGAAGCTCAGCATGCTAACGATCACGTCTTTGGCGGAAGGCGATTTGAATCCATGACCGCGGATTGCAAATTCCAAGCTCGAGGAGTACAAAAACCGCACGATAGAGGACAGCTCTTCGATGGTGCTTGGAATGAGAACCACCGACGGGTAAAGCTGCTTCTGAATGGCAAACGGCTCCGAGTGAAGCTTGTATGACGGATCATCCGGTGTGATGACTGACCCCTGGCTCAACTTCTGGGTCAGAGGCTGCAATGCAGCGAGCGTTGATGATTGAGTTTCATGAGACATGGTAGTGTTGGCAATGGAGGATGATGCTTGATAATCTTCAAGTCGAATGGGGGGATATCGTTCTCTTTTGATACGAAGAACCGGGAAACTATATATACAAGTCTGATGTCATACAAAAACTTGCATCAATTAGATAGTACCAAAGCTTTTCCCTTTCGCGTCTCGGTTTTAAGCCTAAGATGCCCCGGGTGGAACACGACAGGGAAGATCTTTGGGAGAATGACATCTGCACAGTCTATTCGAGCGTCCAATGTTTTGGGTCCTTAAGGTGTATGAATCTAATATGATGTTTTTATTCGCTAGGGTGACGAGAACCCGATGGGGGTGTCCGTACAGCGTCGACGGGGTCTCGAATTACAATGGAAAGACTCGGATTTTGGAACAAGTGTTGCCGCTACGGGGATTGCGGAATCATCACGCTATTCTACCTAGTATCTCAGATCCAATGGAGAGATTTTGCCGTCTTTGGTGTACTATAACTTGGGTAGTGAACTTACGATGGCTCGGCTCAATTGTTTATTGAAGTCCGTGACGGCCCGATTCGGCTACTAAGCGGAACGGACGTCATCAGACGAACCACGAGTAGAGGTAAAGTCAAATCTGCAAAATAGTCAGCAATCATGCTACGTAGCCCCAAAGATGAATTCTGGAGCTCTTGCATTATGAGCCGTTGAGTGGTTCTCTCGCGACTTCGTTATCCGCTGGAATAGCGAAGAAGGTTGTCGGATTTGTAAGTGTCAGATAGTCAACTGCTCTGTTTGTAAGCTGTCTTTGAATGCTAAGGCCAAGAAATCTATAATTATGGTTCTATTGGTACCTGAAGGCACCTTTGTCCTCCGAAAAGTATTCGTCAGGTATCACAGCACCGAAGCTCCAACCAACCAAACATAAGAGTTGCCAAGATGAGCACCACAGCGCCCCAAACTAGCAAGGAGATGATTCTCCTCCCTCAGGATCTCCGAGGTCAGAATGCCCTGGTAACGTAAGCTTCAGTGCCCTCTTGTGATTCGTTTTTATGAGTCATTGCGGATTTACCTATGGACGGCCTCCGAGGTTGCTAATGATGGCGACAGAGGTGCTTCCCGCGGTATTGGCCGCGCCATAGCTATTCACCTTGCCAGTCGCGGAGCAAACGTTCTTGGTACCTGTGCATCCACTGAATCACTCAACCTATTCGAATCTCTCGAAAAGACCGTTCAACAGGGATACCTCCCGAGTCAGTTCGACGCCCCAAGAGTCACGGGACTGGTTGCCAACCTTCTTTCGCCAGACTTGGCCGAGACGATTGCCAACAAAGTCCAGGATGAGTTTGATGGCAAACTCAACATCATTATCAACAACGCAACCCACTTTGAGGCGCGGCCAGTCCGTCAGCTTGATGCTGAATTCATCCAGAGGGTCTTGCTAGGCAATGTACAGTCTTTGGCGCTGACGATGGACGTGCTTCTCAGACGAGACTACATCCAGCCGGAATCCCGCGTTGTCAATATCTCAAGCGATTGGGCTCGTACCGCAGCAGCATCGTAGTAAGTCACAGTCAAATAAGAAGACCTTGGCGATCTCGGATTCCTGTGTTGATGTTAACTTTACAAGTGCCATGTTGTACGCATCGACCAAATCAGCAATGGAATCTCTGACCCGATCTTGGGCGGATATTTTGAGCCAGGACACAACGACGCTGGGAACTACGGTGAACTCCCTCTCAGTGGGTGGTACGGCGACTGATGCGCTAACTGGGAGTGCGCCGCCGGACATGCGCGAAGCCGCATTGAAGGTTCTGAGCGAGGGAAAATCAATCCATAACGGAGTCGGACTTCCAGATGATGTTGCCAAAGTCGTGGGTCTAGTCGTAAGCGATGCGGCGCGCTGGATCAATGGAAGTGTCATTGCAGCCAATGGCGGCTCAGTCAAGATTTTATAAAGCTAGTAGCCTGGAAGCTGTTTACTGGCTACGGAGCGTAGCATTACAACGAAGCTATGCTTCATAGATGAAATTAGACTGATAGAAGAATGAACAGATGCTCTGCCACTACCAAGAATTGACACGGAGCATGTCATCGACGATGGCACTGGCAGGAATGTCGAGTACCTTGAGCTGAAGGTCAAAGAAGAGGTTTCCATGATGTTTTGCCACCCCCTCCCATCCATTCAAAACATCCTGACACAGCTTCAAATCCCATGATGCACCGTGAGAGATCTCGACTGTGTGACCTGATACTTCGTAACGGAACAGAATCGCTTGATTCTTCCAGGTCTTCCACAGTTCCATGACCTTGAGATTTGGCAAGTGCATTGCGGCCGCAGCAGCTCGTTGAAGTAGACCTTGAGTGTATGCCTCGTCGAGAGTTGAATCGAGGAGGGGAGACGTGAGAGCTACCGCTTCGAGAGATGACCAGCGGTCGAAACACTCCACCATCGGCGGCATGGATAATTGAATAACTTCATCGAGGAAATGCGCGGCGTCGAGAACATTCTGAGAGCTGAAAGAAACTAGGCGAGAGCATCCCAGTACAGCCGCCCGAGCAATATCGCGGTTAGGACCGGGCTCTTCGGAAGGCCCATGTAAGTTGTCATGCCGAGCCTCCCATAACTTGACTCTCTTTACAGTAGGTGGAAGACTTTCAAGTAGAGCCACATTTGCCTTGTCTCTCCGGGATCTGTCTATTTGGTCAATGCCCCGCCAAGGTTCGTACTCAATGGTTTCCAGATTATCCAAGCTCAGAAGAAGAAAACGAATGGCGTCTGCTGATAGACTTCGATAGCATACGTCTGTAACGCTGAACTTTTTGACTACTGGAACCCTCGGAACCACAGGGCACCCAGTTTCAGCCAAGCTTGTCAAGCTCGACGTGGGGGTTGCATTTTCAAAGTCGAGCAGATTTCCCATGAGACGCTTCCGTGCTCCCAAGAGGTCAGCGGGCTCAAGATTATCATAGGGTTCATCGGGATCATCATCCCCCTTGAATGGGTGGTAATCGTCCTCGGGCGAGTCGGCAAAGAAGTGAAGGTGAATGCCGAAGTGATCTTCGTCGCCGTAGCCTAGTTGCCATTTCGAAAGCGTTCTAAGAAGTGACTTGAAGTGCTTGTCAAAAATCTCATTGTTGTGCAATATCTCTTCGTCGTCCTCTTCCTTGCAGAACTCTTCGGAAGTATATGTCGCTAAGGACACATGGAGCCAGATCTGACTGACGTACATCTGACGACGAGGACCGACGAAGTCTCTGAGTTTGTCTATATCGTGGAGCCGCTCAAGTTTTAGATTCTTGAAGTTGCGCTCCTCGAAAAATGTTTGCCATTCTGCAGAAACGGAGGCTAGACGGCTTTTCTCCTGCGGCGTGTCTTTGGACTGCATCGCAAAGATGATCCCGAGGATCATTAATCGAATCTCTTGCGGAAAGATACTCCATCTGGATGAGGGCCCTCTTTTCTCGTGTTCTCTGGGGCTGTTAAGGTCTTGTGACTGCTCGAGTTCAAGTGCAGGCGTTTGAAACGGCTTATCCAGCACGGGATGCTGGGCGTTGTTATTCATTCTATCGGGCCAAGGAATTTTTCAAAATGGTAGTTTGGCAAAACTGGAACATTGATTAGCTTCAATCAAAATTGTGATGTTGCTCAAGATTTGGATAAACTTACAAGATATCTGTGGCTATCGTCGAGGCGGAATGCGTGATCTGAAGTTCTAGGGCGATCGAAGGCTGGCCCTGGTATTCGAAGAAATGGTGATAGTCGTTGGATCAGCGGTACCCGTTGCACAATATTTTGCTTGCAGTCGTCAACAATCCGTAAGGATGCGGGACTCGATCGTTACGTATGAGGTCAAGCAGCCTGATTCATGGGAAAAACAGTGCCTGTAGTAGCAAGTATCGCATCGGGGAGATGGTTTTCCAATCTAATATTGTTGCGGCTGATGGATTGAGTGGTGTACCAGCTGTCTGCGGCGCGTTTGTCACTCGCACTGTAGCTCGGAGTGGTGATGGCGATTGATGACGTGGATGTAATGGAGGAAGATAAAAACACACAAGGGCCTGCTCAAGAAGAAAGCCTGGAAGAATAAGCCTTGTTGTGCGCCAATGTAAAGCTGGTAGGCAGGCGCAGCCGCGAGGACGGGATCACCACTGATCGGGAAGGAAGGACATGGAGATTCACTGGACGTCGACTGCTGCCATCGTTGTCTTCACTTTTGAGTCAAACTCAATTCTCAAGTAAAATGAGGCTAATGTGTGTAAGCGCATTGAGTAAAAGTAGAAGAGATTCTTCACTTCAACCCGTGGAAAATCTCTGGCTTTGTGCTTCTTAATCTGTCATGAATGCCGCCGCGGCCACGAGAAGGAGTAGTGCCACCGGAAGAGCCACCGCGGCCGGCTGAAGAGCTGGAACCGGAAGTGCCTCCTCGGTCCTTTGCTTGGGAAGAAGCGCCAGGGTTGGACGGTTGACGTCCGATCGATGTCACCTCGAGTCTCTTGACGAACTTGGCCGGAAGGTTTCCCAGCTCATTCTTCTTGCCCAGCTTCGTCATGATGGTGCTACTGAAAGACAAGTACATGCTTGAAGAATCTTTCCACATGGTCTCGATTTAATCGTCTCCTGAATTCGGCCGGGGACAGTAGTGATTGGTCTCGATGAACGCCTTGACTGCCTTGTCAATGCCCGCGTCATCCATGGTCATATCATGGCAGTCATCGAAGTCAATCATCCACAATGAGGTGACTCTTCGGCCAAAGTCAGGGGGTTTGTGCGTCAGAAGTTCGTACGTGCTGGTCATTGGCTTCAGGGCCAATATATCGACAAGACGGTAGTCAGTGCGAACAACCTGCTCCGCCACTGGAGAACTTCCGATGACGAACTCAACATCGTTGCCGTCAATCTTGGCGACCCAGTGCATAACGGCAAGAGCATGAGCCATCCCCAGATACAGGTCGGCTGGCTTCATCTCCAGGTCCTTGATCTGGTTGGCGTGAAGCTTGAAGTTTCGCAGAGAGAAGAACTGGCCGCCCGAACCATACTTGATGCGGCCGAGATACGGCCGCACTAAGCAGTCCTTGTTGGCCTCGCTCTTCATCAACTGCTCTCGTCCTTGAGGCGGACAGAACTTCTCAATTAGACAGTGACGAACGGGCTTCGGAAGAGGGAAGATCCTTTCCATACAGAGAATGTGATTGGGCTCGCGGGGGAATCCAGATATATCTGGAAACAGTTCAAGATTCTCCTCCCAAAAGCTGTGGGAGGTCGGCGTGGCGAACCAGAAACATCTTGGAATTTCAACCTGTCCAGGATAGAACTTAAGCGAATTGAACGCGGTCTCAATTCGCTTGTGCATGATGTAGTTATTCCACAACTTATCATCCTGCTTCGTGAGAGGCAGCTTGTAGGCGAACGTGGTGCCGGGATGCTCGAACACTTTGCCGATGGAGCCGGTACCGATCTCCCGGAAGTTTGCAGCAACGCCAACTGCTGCTTGCTGACGCTTCGCAAAAGACGAAGTCGTGGAGATTGTTGACTTGGTTGAAAGCATTCGCTTGAGACAGACCTCGATTGTTTCTCCTTGAGTTTCAGCTTCAAGCCTTTCTTCTAGGTGAAGGTTAGCTATAATGGCCTGCTCCAAGGAGACAGCTCTCGAAGAAGCCGCAGTATCGTCCGACTGATTCTGTGCACGACGCTTCTCGAAGGCCTTAGGTACGCGGGAAGAGCCTTGTATCGAAGTATTGTCCATCTTCGCGAAGGGGGTTGAGGTGATCCCAAGTTATCTGAGTCGATAAAACCGCAGCCAGTGCTGCGTAACTACTGACAAAGTGCTATACTTCAGTAAGTAAGAGAACCCGGCAACTGAGGTAGGGATAAAGAATGAGAATCAGCGACAACCACCTGAGAATATAGTCCATCCTTTAAGTACACAGTAATCTGGCGAAGTACGCCGGTAAAGGCCTCATGGTGAAGAGAGAACCCCATGCAAAGAAGTCAAACTTCTTGAAGTTTTCTTTCAGCAACTTTGATTCCTCAGCTCTGTGCTTGGTTCAGCCTAAGAAGCGCGGGTTGGTTGCAGAATCATTGATGAGCCAACCTTGCAATGATTCTGTAACGGAATATTTGACGTCACGTAGTTTGTGATAGGCAGTGTGTAGCCAACAGAAAGAAAGCTTGGAAACGGCAAACAAATTCTATCCAACACCTGGAATACTAGAGGCAGTAAATACTTACTGGATCTCTGGATTCACACACGACTATGCTGCTAGGTCCTCCTAGCCCATCCTACCAGATATCTGTTCCCTTGGTGAACCTTCCCTTTGTCTCCTCGATACACTCCATCAATCTCAGCGGCAGCCGACGCAAATCTTCCTCCTCGCCCTCCAAAATTCGCTCACTAGCCATCAGGAAGTGAGTCCAGAAGGCAGTCCAGAGTTCCTGATCCTTTGCGTTGTTGCTGCCAGGTCGCGGATAGTAAGGGTCGTTCCGCCAAAAGCTTCTACAAGCTTGCTTGATTCCGTTGTCGTCCATTGCCATCATCCTGCAACAATCAAAGTCCAGGATCCACATAGCATGAGAGCCAAACTCATCTGAATGGAAGCCTACAGGACCCAAGCTTGATGTCGTGGGGGCTTCGCAGGGTGGCGATTGGCAAGTCCTTGGGTTCGCAAGCACAAACTCAACGTCATTGGCATCGACTTTTGCGGACCAGTGCAGGAATGCGAGAGCCTTTGCCATTGCTACGGCGTACCCTTCAAGATCCAGGTTGAGAGTCTCCATCTGATCGGCGTGGAGTGGGAAGTTCCTCAGACTGAAGAATCTAAGTCTAGGTCTATCTTGATTGGTGTCTGTATTCCGAAGCTTTCTGCGCCCCAAGTAAGGTCGAGCGAGACAGTGGCTATTGGTCGGGCTGTCGGCAATCTCATCCGCATCCACGTTTGGGTGAAACTTATGGGCCAACAGCTTGCGAACATCGCGAGATAGTGGCGGAATCTTCTCGCTGATGAGTGCGTTGCAACCCGTGTATCCCGCAGGAAATCTAGGGAGCATTTGATCCCAGGCAGTCGCATCGTGTTTGAGGAAGCCTTCACAGTGAGGCACATTGAGGTGGACTCTATTGGTACTATCCAAGCTCCGGATAATGTGGCGATGCATCGTGTGTTCGTTTGCGATGGAACGACCTGGGCCGCCATCCTCGCGCTTGATAGCGAGGTTGCCCGCGGACCACACAGAGCCACAGAAGCCCTTGCCGATGGCTTCAAGTGGCAGCGTCGAGTGCGCGATTGTGAACTCGAACGTGTGAGGTGTTTGCTCGTCCATGTTTGCGTCAAGACTGATTAGATTAGTGGTTGTAATGTCTGTGTACTGTGTGTTCTTTCTGTGTGGAACACTCTTAGAGGGGGGAGAGGAACGACCGGGGGGAAGAGTTGTCTTTATAGGTAAACCCATGGATATAGTTATGGCTGGAGCCTACCCGTTGCCTACCTGCAGACGCCCAGATTTGTGGTTAAGCCTACCCTTTGAGTTGTGTGACTCAAACATTTCATCGGTACCCTTTAGTTCGCAAACTTCTTTGAAGTTGAAGGCTGAACCTAAGTCGTGTGGCTCTGGGCCGACTAGGCATCAAGGTGAGGGGTTTCTTCTATAACCACTTTGGCGAGCAATGTAGCCGACTACGGTGTACAACAGGATTGATAGACGAAAACGCCTCAGTGAAGGCTTAAGAGAAGAAATCGCATATTGGGAAAAGAGCGAAGAGGCAAGGAGGTCCATTGAAGATGGAGCGTGCGCCCTTTGACATGGCTTTAACATGGTACCGATGTCGCGTAGCCATCATATGCCGCACCATTCTGTATTGGTATCATGGGAATTGTCTAAAGGTATAGTACAGTATCAATACAAACTGGTTTCTTCCAGGGGAAAGCGACTTAAACCTGGATGGGAGCAGGATTGAGGCCGACAAAATTGCTCTTTCGCGCTTTGTCCTGCCGTACCGCCCTGCGTTCAAATCTGTCCTGGCCGCCCTTCTTGCGCTTTGCGACCCGTCTCTGTTTCTTCTTATATGGTGTGTCAATCATCCACTTATAGCCCTTTTCCCGGTAATACTCATTGTCTTCCTCCAACGCCTTCTTTTCCGCCTCGCGGATGGCTAGAAACGCCCTTGCTCTCGCAGACTGATCCGCCGCATCGTCGCTCAGTCTCCTGCTGGCATCATCAAATGTAGCAGCTACACTGCTGGTGTAACTCTCTTCAAAGACATAGGGCTCGACAACCCCTACCCTTTCGTAACTTGGTTTTTCAACCCAGTCAGGAAGGTCTGCAAGGGGCTGCTCGATTCTCTGCCGCAACCTGACCAGCCTTTCCACCACCCTCTTTTGAGATTTGATCTCGGTCTGGAGATGCCCATCCCACTGGTCCTCTTCCTTCGCAAACTGCTGTTCATCGCGCATCGAGCCGAGCAGATGTTCCATGTTCTTAATCTTGTATTTGTTCTTCTTCTGGACATAGTCGCATACGGAGCGGTGCTGCGGCTTGCCCTGGCGTAGAAAGACGACGCCATGTGCGGTCACTGCGACGTTAGGGACGTGCCGTATGCCGGAGAGGTCCCCGCGAGGCACAGGGTGGCGCTCGGAGATGTAGACGGGTGGTTCGTCGAGGGGGGAAATGCGCTTGAGGAGGGGTGGCCATTTGGGCTTTGGACGCTCGATTTTCGGCGGTGGCGGTGGTGGTTTGCCTGCTTCTGATCTTGCATCACGAAGGCTCTTTTCGCGGAGGTACGTAAGGATTTCGGAGTGCTCTTTTGACGATGGGGTCTGGGCGCCTTTGAAGAGGTTGAGAAACTTGAATTGGAGTACTGTCAGTACTAGAAGGCGCTGCGAGCAAAGTACAGCAGTATCGCACCTTGTACCCCTTCGATAGCGCAGCAAGAACAAGACGGTAGCTCGCTTCCGTCTGATTGCGCTTGAAGCCTTTCTTCACGAGCCGTGGCAGCGGGTTCTCGACACCCTTGCGGAGTACATCGTTGGGGAGTGGCACGGCGCGAGCCTCGCGGACGAGAGCACGATATAAGGCGATTGCGGCGATACGATGGCGGGAGTTCTGAGCTGGTACGAAGTGAGATGGCATCCTCGCGGAAAAGGAGGCGTCATTCCCCCGAGCTTCGGTCACATTGCTGGTGTTGGTGAAGCTTGAGCTTTGCGATCGTTATGTTCTGGAGGGGAGATGCATTGACAAATGGGTGTCTTATCTAATCGGCTCTTATCGATTCTTATCGAGGTTTACCTCAACTCAGGTACCCAAGGTAAGGTAGGTAGGTACCTTAGGTAGGTGCTTACTGTGCAGTAGGTATCTTACACCATAATTTACTGCTGGATAATACCAGAGCAAGACATTGATGTTGGCAAGATCCCTGTCAAATCATGAACAAATGCGATCACTGCTTTCCGATTCTCAAAGCAAAGATTACTTTGCTTGTTTTCGAGTCAAGCTGTTGTCCAAAGGTATCAAACCTGGCCACGTCGGTCGAATCAAATTTGGCCTCTGTCGTCGGAATCTGAAATGGCCTAGGTACCTAGGTAGATGAGGTAAGTATCTTACACGGTTAGGGTAAGGTACTTACATAGTAGACGGGTTTTCGGATATTCTTTACGACTCTTCGAATGGTCATGAATCCCGACGCTCTATTAGCTGGACGGGAGCGCACCATCATGGAAGCCGCCGACGTACCCAGAAAGTTGCGCGGCCGAGACACCGGCCGCATACATCTATTTGGCTGAGATGATCGGTGTGTCGGTCTAGACGAGGCGGGTGACTGACCCCTCGCGAACCACCCGAAAGGGCCGCAGTGACACGATCTCGCTGGTGTTTGACAGAATCCAGATCGGACACGCGCGGGGGTTGCCACACCCATACTCCGTATTCGCGGTCATAATGATGAACTTGTCGCACGCTCTCCAGAACCCTGAAAACCCCTTGGGGGTCACTCCCGGGGCTGCAGACAAAGAAGGGGTCCGACAAGGATATGGGGGACGGACCGAATGGACCGTCTCTGGCCCAGGGCATGCCTACCAGCAAACCTCCTCCTTATCTTCTCCATCTCGCTACCTTATGCCCAGCTCCCAACTATCATCAGTCCTCGAACGGTATCCTGTCTGCCTATCTTCGAGTACTTAGCTTCTAGCTCGACATGATTTTCAGCAAGCATTGGCTTGCTTTCTCAATGTCCTGAAACCGAAAGAGGTGGAATATCACAGAAACCCAACCGCGAACAACTCTCTCAATGAAGAAGCCGTTATTTGAGTCCCTCCGGTCGAAGGAGATGCTGTGACGATCCCACATCAACCTTTAGCTGAGCCGAGATCATGAGGCTGTTGCCAATGCGAGATGGCCCAATCAATCCCGAATAATGCATGCGCCACTGCGTGCACACCACGCGTCGGCGCTTTACACCCACGTTTTGTGGTTTTTGTCAGTAATGGTAATGCAGGCTCCCAATGGTACAGGCTTGACGATCTCTCAAATTCACCCGCCAAGTTTTACCCTACCAAACAAAGCCTTCCGAGCGCCGTTTCGTCAGTGGTTCTTTGAGAAAAGGGGACAACCTCTCTCATGTTGAAAGCGGTGGTTTCTTTTTTGCTTTTTCGTCCTCATCCTACTTGACGCCTTCAGGGATGCAAAAACCTCCGGTCGGGATTATGGCGTGAGTTGATGGCGATCGTTGCCCCTCATGGAGTGAGCATGCCCCAAGAGTGAGGCTGGCAGGCGGAATACATATTCACAGGCGACCATGGTTGTAATGGATCTCGACCTGCTTCTCTGCCGTTGCTCCCCGGCCCAATCGAATGGCTTGTCAGCTGGGTACGGGTTTTAATCACTTGCAGTTTCACACGTTAGACCAGCGCGCCGGGATCTCGAACTGACATAATCCGGGTCGAGAACTTGAGGTTGGCCACCGAAGCATCACCCATGCCATGCTACCGCATTCTCGTCACTTCTTACCCGGTCGAGGCCGCGATGTTTCCTTACAGGTGTGGCTTTGGCCATCCTTCACCTCATACGTGCAGCACGCCCAGCTGCGAACCGCAGATCTCTCACACTCTAGTTCCCTTCCACGGGGTCCGCGAGGAAAATAAGGCTCACCAAAAGGCCTCTCGATTCCTTCTCGCCCCAGTCCCGCGATCCAATCATGCAGCTCTTGGCCGTCTTATTCCCTGCTTCGCGGCATTCTTCATTGTTCTCTCTCTCCGAAAGGCCCTGGCATTTCAATGACAATCCAACACACTCAACTTGCCTCACCCACAAGGCTGGCCTGGCCACAGCTGATCACCCTGTCCCACGGTGTCACCCGTATCCTTGGATTGGGGAACGAGTCGGTGTTCTACCCTCAAGGCGGGAGACTTTACCCACACCATGACCATGGCGGGCCGTGTACTCCAACGCCTCTTCACTTCTTGCTTTTTATCCTTGGTGGGTTTCGTCAGTGTTGACAAGAAGTGGCGCCGAATTGTCTTTCTTAAATCAAGTACGATCCGCCTCAGACACAACCAGACTGTGAACGTGTCATGGACATGTCTAAGTTGTCTCGTCAAAGGTCGAACTGTATTGGAGAGGACTAGTCTTCTAATCTTTACCGGTCGTACCTCTATCAAAGCACTATCCACTTGTAACTTCAAGCTGTTCTATTAGCCGCAATCTAGCCAACTACCTACGTTTTCGTAAACTTGGAGCCCCATTTGAACGGTTCTAAGTGGCTCCTTTACACATTTACCTTTTTAATCTCGTTCTGCTACCTTCTTTTGGGCCCGCCTCTACCCGGGATTTACGAGTGTTGTTGTTAAGCTCTGCATGGCTGACGGTGCCTGGCCACAGGTCCCCGGAGCCCGACGCAATGGTGAGGCTATCTTACCCTAACAATATTCTAGGCTTATTCGGTGTACCACACTCACAAACTCGTGTACATTGAGATTGAAGGCGTTAGTCGGCATCTTTAGAGTTTATGGGTCCACATCACTACCGGCGCACCCACTTTCTACTCGGCGGATATGAGTAATCATTCCCGTCCCAGCGGCCTCGATACGCCGTCCGATACGGCAGACGACCTCGACGAATCTCCTCCCTTCCGACAGACCCATCACGCAAGCGGGTCTCGTGAGCAAGGTAGACACGGCTTTTCAACTTTCTCTCGACTGCTTCCCCAACGACCTTTGGCAAGTCGTCGCTCACAAGTTATTGATCAGCAACAAGAGAAAGACTGCTCCGCTGGCGTCAGTGTCCCCAACTATCCGGGCCCGTTAATAGCAGTATCCCTCGAAGAACGTGGTTCAACCGGCGCCGAATCTACTGTCCTTTACTCAGCATCCCGCCCACCTCTCTTCTCTCACCCTTCATATACACATGCGCGCCCGCACCTGACGCAAAATCACCAGCAACTGAATGCAGAGGAACACTATTATCGTAATTTTCAAGATCAGGAGTACTTGACAATCTTTCACGAACCCCAACAACACTATCGCGTGCCCCATAATCACCAGTCCCCGCAAGACTTGAGCCAACAGCTTCAATATCATCACCAAGTATTTCCACATCCTTCGCCGGCGGACTCTATACAGTCAGCCTCCCTCGCTTCGTCTTCTCCCGACACGGCGTCTTTACTCTGCCATCCACACGACCCACGGCTTCTCCAGGCCCAGCTTCAAGCACCCACCGAAAGCGGCTTTACATCATTTGCTTACGTAGACCCCGAATTGCCCCCAAATCCTGGCGAACTAGCCCCGATCCATTTTTCGGGCCTAGAATCCGTACATCTCGCCCCGGAGCGCCCTGTGGATTTCTCTTTGTCCAGACCTGTGGCGGTACCCGCCCACCCATTCTATCACAACCACCTCAGCGACGACTTCCTCCAACATCGCCAGACTGGGGTCCTTCAATACCCCGGCGGCTACCCGGCACCATTCATGCAGAACTCCGGGCTGTCCATTCTCAACGCCGAATCTTTCGACGATGGTATGTCGGGCTTTCGCGCACCAAGAAGCCTACCTCCTGGGGGGAAACCTGCTGCCGACACCAGTGAGGAGGCAAAACGATCCTCCAAGAAACGATCAAAGACTCAGTCTTCAGAGGTTGTAGAACTGGACGAGGAGGAAAAGAAGCGGTCAAGGGGGAGACCACGCCTAGACACCAATGATGAGACCGCGAAAGACGTAAGTTGGCGAATGACTCCTGATCTTACCCCCCTTTTGCAGCTTTGCCACGGAAACTAGGTCGCATGTTATTGCCTTCCTTATCTTACACATGCCACCTTAGTCGACCCCTTCTAACCATAGCAGCGTCGTCGAACACAAATTCGGCTCGCTCAAAGAGCCTACCGCAACCGCAAGGAGACAGCGATCCAATCGCTCGAGAAGAAAGTTGACGAGTTGAGGCGCACCAATGAAGAAATGAGCAAGGAGTTCATGAAACTCTACGACTTCGCCGTTAGTAAAGGCATGCACGAGAGCACACCCGAATTTGGTAGACAACTGCAAGCTACGACAGAAAAGTTTGTCTCTTTGGCGCGGAAGACGAGCGAGGAGCCAGAAAAGGAAGGCGACGTGCTTCCAAGCCAGGAAAACGATGGAGACGTCGAGGAAGTTGGCGGCTCTGCCGGTGGGCAAGAAAGGGGCAGCGAAAAGTCACCATCTGCCGAAATTGCTAAGCCGATTGAGCAAGTCATATACGATGTTTTGTCAAGCGAGCAGCCGCAACAGCATCAGCTACAGTCAACACCTCGAACACTTGCGATGACTGCGGTGCATACAACATCTTGGGCGCCCGATAGTCAGTCACACATGCCGCACTCGACACTATCCCAAGCCCCAATGGGCTACGAGATTGTGACGGAACCGACGCCGGATAATGCTAGTTTCCCATTCGGTATGTCCTGCGAGCATAGTCTGGACCAACCAGGCACTTTCGATCTACTCGCCAACCAACCCTTTTCTGATTCCCTATTCAATATTCTCTCTTCACCGACCTCCTATGCCCACCAGGAGCGGACGTTTGGGCGGCGTCTGCAACGATCGACTCTAGAAAAGGCTTACACGTTGCTCCGCATGCCCAAGCCGCCGAGCAGCCTCATCAACAGCGCTTTCGGTTTCAGTTTACTTTTCGAGCCCAAAGAGAGGATCATGGAGCGGATCGCTAACCGTCTCAGTGTCAACCAACGGGAAACGATGTTCAACTGGAAGTTTCCATTTTTACACCTAGGGGGCGGGGGAACGTGGTTCGACGAGATGAATGACTTGGATGAGATGGCGTACCCGAGCGGCCATAAACAGAGAAATCCGGTGGGGAATCAGGGGACGGCCGAGCCGTATCGGCAAAAGGTCGACTCACTCTATGGCATGGGGCCGTGGGATGCGGCGACGGAAGAGATGCGAGACCTCAGAGTGGAGCGCGCCGCTGCGAGACTTCGAATGAACGTCCCTGGCCTGCAAGGCGACTTTTACGATGCGGACGAGGTTGAATGGGTTCTTCGGAGACGAGGAGTCGATATCCCCGCCGCTGCGGATTTCGTCACGGCAGAGATCGATCCTGCAGACTTTTCAGATGAGACCGCGGTTGCTGGACGTGCTCACGGTAGCGGACTCGATAGTAACGGCAGCAGCATTAACAACGCCTCCGATATCTTGAGCAGTTACGGAACGAGCCCTGGGGACGCCGCTGCCAGGCAATGGCTCGGGCAGACTCTGAAGCCGACAAGGCCGTCTGATGTCCACTTGGGCGATACGCGGTCCGTCGGGCAGTCTAGCGACGCGGCGTCTAGTCAGATGCCCCTGGACCCGAGCCTTGCGGGCGATATGTTTGGGCTGGAGAGCACCTCTACCAACCAGACCGTAACGCCCGGGTCAAAGCGGAGGGCGGTGACGATCAATGTTGGAGTGCTCGTTCAAGGTATGTGCCCATAGTCATCTCTACGATTCTGGTCCAACAATGCTAACATCAACTCTAGAAATCGGATTGAAATCGGTCTGCCTGGGACGATCACCAGGGATCCGGCCGAGAGACTTGAACGTTGCATTTTGGGCATCGCTGACCACGTGAAAAAAACGGCGGGCTTGATATTACTTGACTTCGAGAGGGGCGTATCATTGGGTATTAGACCGTGCCGGTACCAGAACGGCCAAACGCCTCGAATGGCTCATAGTTGATTCTTTTCTTTTGTTGGTTCATGAAATTCATGTTAAGATTGTGTCTCGAGGGGTACCCCAAAGAAGGGAAAAGACACTTTCTTATCTAGCGGTTGGCGCCTCGTACAAATGGGTTCACAAAACTATATGTTGTATTGTGGTAGTAGCCATTATGGAGGCTCTATCTAAGGCTTCGAGCTTATGGAGTAGAATTGAAGTTGGTTATAGTTCCTACGACACTTTTCTCGCCGGCACGAAATTGTTGCTTTCCCAAACTGCCTCATAACATCCGAACAGAAGATCTGGAATTATGTACTCGGGGATGAAGTTAAATTTAATGACTGGAAGAATATAAATTTTTCTGTAAGGCGCGTGAAAATTACCCAACCTCACTTGGAAAAGGTTACTTTGATCACCTGGATCCTGTTGTTGTTCGTGAAAGAGATGACGAGCGTCTTGCCTGTGGGGTCCAGATACGGATGAGCGACGCCAGCGTAGACGAGCCCGCCATCAATGGCCTGAGCCTGGAAGATCTTGATGTCCGGCGTCCAGGGGCCCTCGAGTTTTGTAGCAGTGCGCAAGAAGACGGTGCCGCCACCGATGCCTTTCACAAAGTCAGTCGAAGGCCTGCATGTCAGAAACCACAGTATTAGAAACATACCAAGGTGAACAAAGATATAACACTTAAAGTGCTCATTCCACACAATCTGCCCCTGTCCCGTGCCCCACACAGTCGCCGTCTCGGAATTGAACGTCGTCAAGACGTCAGACTTCCACCCCTGCTGGCGGCCCCAGTAGTACTCATAGTTGCTCACGTTGAACGCCTGGCTGGCGTTGACCCGCGCGAGGTAGACGTAGCTGCTCTGGCCCCAGTCGGTGATTGTGGTCGGCGGGCCGCCCCAGGCGTAAATGTACTCGGAGCACGGGTCGCGGAAGGCGGCGATGTCGCCGTACCGGGGCGTGGTTTTGGCATCCCACCAGTAGCCGCGGTCGCCGTAGCGTTTGGTCACGGTGGGGGTTCCGAACAGGACGTCTACTTTGGCGATGCCCGCGCCTACTAGGCCATCTGCGTTTTGGTTCTGGGGAGTTTTGTGTAAGTCTTGTGCAGACTCTCTTTTGGGCTCTGGTTTCTAGCTTCCTGGAGGGGGATGATGACTTACAACTAGGTAAAAGACGGCCCCGGTGCGCGTCTCAGCATTAGTCTCGACCAGACTCGTCCCGCCGAACCCGGTATCAACTTTTTCTCCCCACGACGAATTGAAGGGGATGAACTGCTTCTGGCGCCCATTCTCTCCCAGGTTGAGATCGTGCACGATCAGCGGGTTCTTCGTCATGACTGACACGGCGTCGCGCACCATACCGTGGAACCCGGGCGTGTCCTTTTCGGGATCCGTGACACCAGCATCGCACCAGAGCACATCACCCCAAACGGCGTACCATTTTCCTGCGATAGAGCCGGTGAAGCCTAGATCGCGGTGGGAGCAGCTGTTGTCGGCGTGCTGGAAACCTAGGTACTCCACTTTTGGGTTCACGATGGGGTTCGTGCCGATGGGGAGTGTGCTATCCATTCCTGCGGTGAACACTTGGAGGGGGTTTGCATGGGCGAGGTTGGTGCCGATGGCTAGAAGGGCCGTGGCCAGGGGTAGAAGGTGAGGGGTCGGGGCATGCATTTTGAGGGGAAGTGGGTGTCGATCTTTGGGGTTGCAGTTGACCTCGGCGCAGGAGAAGGTAGATGGAGGGGGATGGGCGATGCTTGTGATTGCTCGGTGTGGCTCGGTGAGGGTGTCGAGAGAAAGGAGTGTGAATGCCAGAATCGATCTGGCTGTTTGGGAATGATTGTGGGATGTAATTGGTACCTTATGTAAAGAATTAAAACCTCTTAAAGACAGTAGAGGAATGAAGGGATGGCGATGCTAGAGATCGCCTTGAGTTGAGGTGAAGACGTGATGATAACGGACGGCAAAGGGTAGTAATAAATACGTACTGGGAAGGTAGGTCCGGTACCGCGATGGCAGTTGAGCAGGCCAACGCCGAATCAGAGTGCCTAGAGATATCGACAAGCGCTTGGCCCCCTGGTTCCATGGTTGAGTTGACATGGAACGATGGATGGATGGACGGGTGATAGGCCCATCATGGTGCTGCAGGCCGGAGGGAACCACGGGCGGTCGGACTGCAGATGCACAACGCCGGAGGTGCGCCACGGCGCCGTGCGGTGGGGCCGGGCCTGGCCGGTACATTGCAGAGGGAGCGAAAGGAAGCACGGGGTGGTTTACATAAGTTGGCAGTGGACCAGTGACCGAAACATTCTAGATTCTGGGCGGCCGGGTGTGGCTTCGCGGATGTGAGATTGAGGTGCCCTGAGGCTAATTTTGCTGCCTTGAATGGAATCGTGGCTTTCATGCGATGATGACATGGAAATGGAGCTTGGCGGTTACGTTCGTCCTTGATGTCGAGGCATTAGTCAGAGAATGGCTGATTGACGAGGAGCTGAATGACTATTGACTGGCGCGAAGGTACATTGTTGTTGTCTGTCAAAATAGGATGGAAAGTGTTCCACCACGCCATCATGTCTTCATGCTCATGACGGCGCTTATCCATTAGTATCTCATCAAGACTCTTGCTGCATCGATTCGAATGACAAGTGTGAGTGAACATGAGGTGAGTGAGTGAACATGAGGGTGAGTGAGTGAGAGGGCAGATTCCCGCCGCGAATTGGAGATAACAAGGTACCGTCACATTTCAATTATGTTTCCATGTCGCTCTTGGGAAGAAATACAGTTAATGGTAAGTCCAAGGCGTCTCTAAGTACCCAAGTGAAGTGTATGACATTTCAGCCTCTCTACCTCAGTGTACACACTCACTCAGCATTCAACTCGGATTGGTCTGTCAAGGTCGTTGCGAAAATAAGAAGCGGCCGACGATGAGACACTACAAGCAGACCTGGACTTTACACGCTCATTTAACTCAACGCGAGAGCTGCAATACAGATCCTGTCGCAATCGATGGCGAGAGCCCACGTGGATCATCTCAACGACGTTCTCATGTGCAGGGAAGCTTCAGGGAAGATGAGATGAGCTCCCAGGCACATGCTCGCCCTCAAGCCCGCCATTGGCCGACCCCTCCTTAGGCCTGCCAAGTTGTGAAGCTGTTTCCTCCAAGCAATGTGCGGGGCATCTCTCATTCCGGTGCGTCCGTTTCTCCTCTGTCCTCTACTGCGTACGTCTGTCATCTGCCGTCTGCTGTTCGACCTTGTTAGTATTGGTCTGCATCCTGTCACTCATATAACCTTTTCAGAGCTGGTCCTTGACTCAAATCCACGTGCCCTGACTTGACCCGGTTGGCTGGCACCACCGGATGAACCCTCCACTTCACACATTACCGTCACGTCCATCGAGAGGCTTGAACGGAGCTCTCGGTCGCTCTTGGCGATCTCGAATGCAACCTTGTTCTGTATATAAGCATGAGCTCTCCTTATAATCCCCTCAAGCTTTGCCTTTACTTCCTGTGCGTAGTTGTTGCTGCTGTTCTCCTCATCTCACCCCTCGTCGCCATGTCGCCTATGTCAAGCCTGGCCCTCAAGGCTGCTCTCCGTGCGTCACACCCTTTCTGGGCTCTCCTCACATACAGATTCTGACCGTGACTAGTGCTCCCTCTCGTGAGCGCCGCTTCATGCAGCAATGAGTCCTACACCCACAATGGCCTCACCTGGTCCCGTGGCATCCGGATGAACCAGGTTCAAGTCGTAGGCACGCACAACTCGTACCATCGCGAGGCCCCGCTTGAGGAGCACCCAACCCAGGCGAAGATGCTTCCAAACGTCCAGAACTACTACTACTCCCACCCGTCCCTTGATATACAGCTCAACTACCAGTCCATCCGCAACCTTGAGCTCGACATCTTTGCCGACCCTGAGGGAGGCCACTACGCCACGCCCCTCATCCGCAAGCTTGCGAACCTCTCCACGACTCCAGACCCCGATCTCCTCGCTCCAGGAATCAAAGTCCTCCATGTCGCCGACGCAGACTATCACCCTACCTGCAAGACATTCATCGGGTGCTTGAGTATCGTCAAGAAGTGGAGCCAGGCGCACCCGGACCATGTCCCCATCCCCTTCATGATCGAGTTCAAGACCTCCGAAGCCGCCTTCGCAGCAATCGGCGGTGCGTCTCAGATCCCCTGGAACGATACAGCACTTCTCAAGGGCCTCGATGATGAGATCCGTAGTGTCTTTGCGCCCGGGGACCTTGTTACCCCGGATGACATCCGTAGGGGCAACTTGACGCTGGAGCAGTCTGTCTTGCAGTATGGGTGGCCTGACTTGGAGAGTGCCCGTGGTCGTGTGCTGTTCCTGATGGACAACGGACCCGTCAACCCAATTCGTGACTCTTACACCGAGGGCCGACCTAACCTTGAAGGCCGTATTCTCTTCACAAACTCCGCGCCCGGAAACTCTGACTGCGCGTTCCAAAAGGTTTGGTGTTCATCAACCCTTCTGAACCGAGGGTGTTCTTGATAAGAAGTGAGTCTTACTGACAACTTTCAATCAGCTCAATGACCCCACTGGCACCGAACAGGCCAACATCCAGGCGCAGGTCAAGGCGGGCTACTGGGTCCGCACACGCGCCGACATCCCGCTCGATACGCTGTTGTCCAACGACACGACGGGGATGCGTGAGGATGCGTTCTCCAGCGGTGCGCAGATCGTGTCGACCGATTTCCAGGCCTACGGCATGAGCAGCCGCTGGAACGTCGACTATGCCGTTCGCTTCGAAGGTGGTGCGGCGGTGCGATGCAACCCCATCAATGGGCCCGCCCATTGCGCGAACGAGGCGTTGGAGCCGGTTTCGTATGTCCGCAACTAGATAAACTTAGCTTCAATGTAAGTGAGACAAGGTCATTTCGAATAGTGTAATGATAATAGCATAATGAAGTAATTTTGAAGGGCTGTTATACACGGACGCTATCAATTGACTGTGGGTGGAATTGAAGAAGCTCCCCCAGCTTTTGAGCGATTTCTTCCTATCAACCAGTGCCGATTGATGCGAAAATGCCTTTTATTCTGCCTTCCCCCCAAAAAGATGTGGAATTGTCCAATCAAAACGAACTTGAATGCTTATATCTCGACCAAAGTACCATCGTTGAGGCGAAGCGCGCGGTAAGGGCTGACATGAGCGGCCGCCCCCAGCCACTTTGCGGGGGAAGAACTGAGAGCTAATTGCCAACGGGCAAGCTTTATGGGCTGAGCCACAACAATTCGGCCAACGCTGCTTCAAAGAAATGCAACAACAACTCGTCCAGTGCAGAAACTGGACCAACATCCAAGGCATCTACCATGGACTCGACCGTTGACTCAGCCGGCAAGAGTCCGCAAACCCTTGAGAGGAATACGGCGAATGTTACAGGATCGGCCCTATCGTCTGACCGTTCCAACTTCCTGAGGTGATCTCCCGTCATCCAACACCGCGGCGCACCTACTGGCGGCGTGAGTCAACGCATCCCCCAATTGGCCTCATCTTCCCCTTCTTCCTTCTCACTGCCTGCAATACCTCAATTCTTCTATATAAACACGGAAAGCACTCTCGATATGTTCCCAGCCGTTTGATTCTTCATGCTCAAGTTGCACCTCGTCTCCCATTCTTGGAGTCTTCGCAAACAAGACGCCATAGAACGGGACAGTCTACGGACAACGACCAGCACCACCCAGCATGGCTACCACCGACCATTATGATCTCTTGATATTAACGGACGCCACGGCGTCCATGAGCAGCTATCTGCAAGCTCTCAACAAGTCACTCCCCGAAATCATTCGGATATCAGCTTTGACCGACTGCTTCGACCGGATCGGAGTCATGGCCTACCGCGACTACTCCGCCTCCATGTTGACGGAGTGGTCGGGATGGTACTCAGCAAACTCGACCGCCGACGACACAATCACACAGGGCCAGCTGCTTCAAAAGGCCAGTCATATCAAGGCGGACTCTGGTCCTTACAGGCTGGATTGGCCCGAGGCTGCAAAGACTGGACTTGCCAGAGCCTACAGCATCATGCGTCCCGAGGCCACCACCATCATCATCCTCTACGCCGACGCTCCTCCTCACATCCCGGGAACGTCGTCCAAGTACAGAACCACCGAGATCGAGAACCTCTCCAAACCTGACTCATTCTACGGCTGTGGAAAGTACTTTACCGATTGGATTGCCGGCGCCAAGATTCTCCGAGACGGCGAGAAGAAGGCCAAGGTCTTCTCCGTCATCCAGGGCGGCATCGACGACACCGTCGCCCCCTTCACATTCCTCTCACACATCACGGGGGGAGTGAGCTTCAAGCTCGATAACCGACACAACGTTCCCACATCGGTCGCTATCTCGGAGTTGACCACCGGCATCCTGATGGCCTGGATGGGTGTAGGAAAGGAAGGCGGAGCAGCATCCGGCCAGCGTACCTACGCCGAAGCTTGTCAGTATCGAACTGCTTCCAGCATTGAGGACATCGTAAATGAAGAGGACGAGGCCCTTGAGTCGTACTTTGTCATCGCCAAACGTATGGAGCAAACTGTCGTGAACAACATCCAGTCAACACCTACCAAGCTTGATGAACTGCGGACTGTCGTCGAAGCCCGGATAACGCCCCTTTTGGACTTTTCGAAGAGATACAAAGCTGATGAGGTCTATCGTAGCTTTGTCGTTGGCCAACTCGAAACTTTGATCGCAGCTGATGTTGGCACCATTGCCATCAACCCTGTATTCGGTAGTCTATGGCGAGCCGTCTGCAACGATCGCGACAACCCGGCTCGCGATGGTCTCATCCAGGCATTCGGGTACGCCGTCGACCGCATCCCCGAGCCTGAGAAGAAGGCTCGGATGAAAGCTTGGCTCGAAGAGTCCTACGACTACGCAGCTGAAATCTCGGAAGCCATCGGCAAGGTGCCTGAACACCAGAGATACCCCTGCGTGTTTCTCGATCCCACTGAGCAATTCCAGGCCTCCACAGATGACAAGGATGAAGACTCAAACGCTGATAAGCGTGAAGTCACAGACTTTACACGAGAGGAACTTTTGGAGATTGGTCGCTCTTGCGACAACCGTATTCTCCGGAGGCTCGGTAGAGTCCTCACACGATTGACCTATGTGGCCCGCGAAGAGGACCTGCCAGCTCACATTAGAGCCGACCCTAGTGTCGCCAGGATCCCTATGGTCCTCTCGTCTGTCGAGTATCAGCGAAAGTTTTGGAAGATTCTTTTACATCTCATACTTCCTGGGACCATGTTGGCCGCTCGCCCAGCCGCCCTGCTTGCAGCCCTTGCCCTGCGCTTGGGCATCCGGCCCCTCACAGCCACCGCAGACAGGGAACTACTCACATTCACCACGAAGTGGAACAACTTGGACATCCCTGAGACCTGGAATGCCAGCTGCCTCTCGCTGCTTCTAGATGCCAACAAGGATTACGAGAGACGCGTCGCTCAAGGCATAACACAGCGTCCAGCGCCAGAAGCCTGTATTCTTCTTCAGAGCGATCAACATCTTTTTGAGACTCTGGTAGACTACAAACTCCTTGAGTTGAACCTCAACACAACCCTACAGGCCAAGATTGGATGGCACCCTGACAAGTCTAAGGTATCTCTTGGGCCCCTTGTCATATGCAGAAGATGCGAGTTTCCCCGCTCAGTCACTATAATGGGGCCGGATAATGTCTGTGGCCTCTGTCCTAAGAGCAACAAGTGTGACTGCAAGGTCTGTGAGACTGTCCCGGATCAAGAGGCCCGTCGCTGCAACAACGTGACCCGTGGCGATACCGAAGAGACGGAGGCAACGTGGGTCGAATGTTTCTCGCCAACATGCCGTGCTCAGTACGTCGTTTATAATCCTCAGGCTCTGAACGTACGGGCCAAATGCTACTACTGCCGACACCATGGATCCGTCGCGGCAAAGTACAAGATCCCGCGCGAAGCTCCCTGTGTCGACTGTTCCAAGTGTCGAAACAGGGTCATCTGGCCCGAGACATACCGTCCTTCCGACCTTGATCTTTCGGCCTTCAAGTGCCCCGCCTGTACAGCCAACAGAGTTACTGTCATCGATTTCGAAACCTCAGCCAAGACACTCAGCGGCGAGAACGGCGTCTCGTGGCTCCTGCGCAACGACGATTCGGCGATCAAGGACCCCTTCAACGGCCGTTCTCTGTTCTATACCATTTCTCAAGTAGAAGAATCGAACCGGGACTCGCTGGCAAAGAATGTTGAGATCATTCCAGTGGTTCAGCAGCAATCACAGCTCACGATTCGCGGCAAGGCTATCCAAAACCAGGACGACATTCTCGAGTCCCTTCGCAAGTGGGTGAAATCTCGGCGTACTGAGGCTGGAGTCTGCAGTTTATGCTTCTCCAACATCCGGAAGACCGATCTTCGAAACGCATGTGGTCGCTCCGGCTGCCATCAGCAGATCTGCAACGGGTGTATGAAGGATTGGTATGGGCTCAATGTCCGTGGAAGATTGCTCAACCTCGCAGCTCTCTCCTGCCCCTTCTGCCGCCGACAGCCGACCGTCAAGACTGTCTCCAACTTTGGTATATCCCACATCGGCAACCTGCAGACTGCGGCTACGGACAAAGAGTGGATATACGGCTGGTGCAGAGACTGCGGCTTTGCCAAGAAGTATGCTGAGCGGGTATGCGCTGTCGGCGCACCCGAAGTATCGAACTGGTCATGTGATGAGTGCAAGGAGATTCAGATGGAGGGCACCCAGAGGCTGAAGGTTCGCAACTGTCCCGGCTGCGGTACAGTTACGGAGAAGATGGGCGGATGTGACCATATCACATGCACCGTCCCGGGTTGCAATGCTCATTGGTGCTTCGCCTGCGGCGAGAACGTCGGCGAAGAGGACATCTACGATCATATGAGCGATGCTCACGGAGGTATGTGGGGAGGTTATCACGCGGATGAGGACGATTATGACTACGGTTACGACAATGAGTTCGATTAGGGGGACCAGGTTATGTATAATTTCACCGTCGCCTAAGATGATCTGGGCAAGACTCGTCTTGTTAGAATCGGGATAGAGTTCGCAGGGCTTCGTTCAACTTATGCTCTCTTAGGCTGGGTCTCTTCTTACTCGTTTGTGTTTGGTGTAGGGATAACAGCAGGGAGTTTTAGATTGGCAGAGCTTGGGGAGTGTGTTTCTGCTAATGATACTGGTGAAGTAGCGTATGAGGTTCGTAATTATGAACAAGTGTTTGGTTTTCTTACAAAGTCTTGAAAACTTTGAGTAATCGTAAGTCCACAGGGAATCATCTTCGTGAATTCATGGAACAAGTGAGGTCGTGTGACGTCGGCTCGGGGCATCATTCGCGCGAGTTGAGGTTGTTTAGGAAATACCCCGCAGTCCGCTGGATTTCATCCGCACCATCGAGGCGGCCGATGTATCTTGAAGCAAAGACCGGCGCGTGACTCGTAGATAGAACTCGTTCGACCTTCATCGACACGAATAGTTGCAGGCTTTCATTTGACGCTGGGGAATCAATCGCATCAACTCTTTGGAAGACTCGCAGGTCGCCGATACAACATGCCTTCTCTGCCCGGTTTCTCAGACAACCCCTTTCGCACCCGCGCCGACCTCGTGCGCGCAGCGACAGCTTTGATACGACCGTTGAAGCAGCACAGGTCTCCCCAGGAGGCGCGTATCAAGCTTGCGACCAACACAGCCGCGGGGTTCGATGAGGTCGCGGCACAGTTGGAAGGGTTCGCGAGACCGTTATGGGTTATCGCGGATCTCTTGAATGACGTCGAAAACGGCGGCGAGGGCGAAGAATTCGCGGGCTTGGATCTGGAGTCTTGGGCTCGGGGGATCATGGTGGGGACAGATCCGAATTCAGAGGAGTATTGGGGGGATGTGAGTGACATCGATCAGCGGATGGTAGAGATGGAGTCCATCGCCTTTGCGATGCTTGTTGCGCCTGGGCCGTTTCTTTCGGCATGTGACGATGAGGCGAAGGAGAGACTCAGGGTTTGGCTGAGGCGGATTAATGGGAAGAGGATGCCTAAGAATAATTGGCTTTGGTTCAGAGTGTTTGTTAACCTGGCGTTGGTGAGGGCACTTGGGGTGCCAGTTGAGCAGGCTAGATCAATCATGGTCGGGGACCTGAAGGTTTTGGATACGTTTTATATGGGAGAGGGGTGGTCTAGTGATGGAGCCTGGGGTAAGGACAGGAAACAGGCGGATTATTACTCGGGCAGCTTTGCGATTCAGTTTGCGCAGTTGTTGTATGTGCGGTTCGCTGTTGGGGATGAGGAGAGGGTTGAGAAGTATAAGGTGCATGCCAAGGAGTTTGCATCGAGCTTCTGGAGGTATTTTGACACGAATGGTGAGTCTTTTGGTTTGATTCCTTGTCACTGAGATCTGGAAAGGAAGCTGACGACAAAGAAAAGGGGCCGCGATACCGTTTGGTCGAAGTCTAACATACCGCTTTGCTTTTGCTGCATTCTGGTCCGCCGCAGCAACCGCTGGCGTGGGTCTCGCACCTCCTCTCGACGATCCTGGAGTAGTCAAGGGACTGTTATTACGACATCTCCGATGGTGGGCAAAAACACCGGACATGTTTAACACGGACGGGACGTTGAGCATCGGGTTCACGTATCCCAACATGTATCTCAGCGAGGATTATAACTCGCCGCAGTCGGTGTACTGGTGCCTCAAGAGCTTCGTCATCTTAGGTCTGTCTAAGGATCACGCCTTTTGGAGGTGCGAGGAGAAGCCACACCCTCTCCAAGACGTCAAGCACCTGGGTACTGCAATGGAAAGGAGGCAGTTGGATCCGGGACGGGTGAGAGTCATCTGGCCGCCGCGGCATATACTCTGCAACGGGACAGAACACCATTTCTTACTTTCCTCGGGCCAGATGACGAAGAAGAGCTTCAAGGGACGGGAGGCAAAGTATGGCAAGTTTGCGTACTCGTCGACTTTCGGGTTTAGTGTCCCCACGGGATCACTGCTTTCGCAGATGGCGCCAGATAGTACACTGGCTGCTAGTATCGATGATGGCGAGACTTGGTGCGTAAGATGGGAACCAACTGAGGTCAGGATCGAGCTTGTGTTAGTGTCGTTTTCTGGCGTGTACAACGAGGTGCCATCCTTAGTTAGTGTCTGGAAACCATGGAAGTGGCTTGATTTGGAGGTTGAGACGGCACTAGTGCCCGTCGTGGAGAGCTTTCCCGGGTGGCACGTACGGATTCATAAGGTCCGTTGGAATCCCAAGGGGGAAATCCCGTCATGGGTTGGGAGTGTGCAGCTCGTTGATGGAGGGTTCGCCATCGATTCACATACAGCAATGGGGAAGTTTCTTCCGAAGAAGTCTGCTCACGAAGCGGATCAGCAGTGTTACACTGAGGACATTGACAGGTGTCTTGTCTACTCCTCAGCCGGGGCGAGCGGCATCTCTGATATCATCGTTGAAGGGAAAGGGCTGCGGCGAGACGTCGATCGAGGCGCGTGGGTGTTGAGACCGGATCCCAATACCAACCTGATCGTGCAGAGGTCGTTCATTCCTGTTATCAATCATCAATTTAGCCTTCGACAGGGTAATGAGGAAGGAAACGGGGCAGCAGTAGACTCGCTCTGGATGGCTTCTGGTGTGTTTGCTGTCAGTGCTACAGCTGGGCTCGAGGCGGAGAAGATAAGAGCGATGTGGGAAAGGAGACTCCGGGTGTCTTTCAACCAGGAAGAAGGCGCTAGATGGATGATCCGAGCTCTTGAACATTGAGCGGCTTTGGATACCATCAGGCTGACAGCAACTGAGAGATCCAGTTCAAGAGAGAATGGCAGATTTACTTCTGATCTCGTAGTGACAGGATTGTGAGGAATTCATTCCGCACTCGCGACATGGAGATTGTCGCACTTTCTAAGATTCATGCTACTCAAAGTACCAAGTCAATATCATGACTCCGCCACTCAGTAATCACGGCATGTCCTGGTGAGTGCGTCTTCTCAGAAGTCCTGTGGCGTTTAGCCAAGTGCCCGATGTAGCGTTACGGACTTACGGCACAGCCTGTGCGCTACGGGCGTTCTAGGCCAAGAACCTGGAAAACATCCCTGTGAACGACGGATTCATGTCCCATTGTCTCTCCTCTCACCCAAGGTCAAGTATTTGTCAGAGGCGAAGCTCGTCGTGGTCAGCACGTAGCTCGAATAGTAACAAGCAAAGCTGAGTCTATCGTGTTGTGTCACTTACACGACTCAAGAGCTGTACGCGGAGCGAAACCGATGCCGTCATCCGGAGCGGACGGCCCGCGCAGATCATCAGAAAAGTCTGTTCAGTATTGAATTTGGTGTTCATCGCACCTAGATAGCTGACAAAACGTCGACAGGTCACAAACTTTGGACCTCGCTTTACTCCGTACAAGGTTTCAACCAAGTTTCCCTCTGGGGCTCCAGTTTCTCCAACCCGCGAAGTCCCCGCCGAAGCCGTGAACTCCAAATAACCTTTTCGCTCTCCGCGCCTGTCCGCGCTTGTCCGCGCATCCGCCGATTCCGGCTGCCTTGGCCATGTCTTCCCGTCCTAATACAGTAACGCCCCAGCCCTTGTTAGCGAAAGATGAAATCGGCTCTCTGTCAAGTGACTGCTGTCCGTAAAGATGTTCCCGTTGCGAGACGACTGACGGTCTCGGTATCATCTATAGCGTGTATCAAGTGGAAAAATAGAAGAAAGAAAGATTAAAACAACAGACTAGAGAACAGCGGGCATAGCGTGTGCCATGCGATCTAGTTGTACTTCGTAACCGCCAACTCCTATAATTTCCACGGGCCAAGCCACCAAGTCTGCCCATGGAGTTGCAGCCAAGTGCTGCGAGATGAGCGAGATCAAAGACCGGGCCCATCCGTTCAGGAACCAGCAAAACGGCTCTGCCATGTGGACGATGACGCAGTAGTGCGCCAACACCACCATAGCCGCCGGATGCCGCCGACGCAACATGTCCAGGTAGTCGCTAGTCATGAGGATGGGCCAGAGGAACACGGCGCGGAACTCGACAGGTGCCGACATGGCATTGAAGGTAGAGACCTTGGCAATGCACTCGCTCAAGGCAATCACCGCGTTAGTGATGGCATATTTCCCCTCGTGCTCGACTAGACCAATCTCCGCGAGCCTGGAGCTTAGGCGAGGAAGCCGTTCGAAGAGCGGTTGTAGAGTAGCCTCCACGGTGGACGGTGTGGTATCGCCGGACCCGCGGATGAAGATTTCTCGTAGTGGGCCCTTGCGCAGATCCTCGTCGGAGGCACGCAGGATCATGCTCATCCCGTCGGTGAGGGTAAAGATATCGAGCATACTATCGATCGGGGAGAAGGGAGGGTTGTATTTCTCGTAGCTCGGGTAGGTAGCAAAGGCGCTCAAGGTAAGAAAGATGGAGGAGGCGAAAAGGGCGTGGCAGTTCGTCGAGGAGATCGTGCCGAGGAGAGTCCCTCTCATCCCGTTGATAGCGTCATTCTGGTGCTGGGCAGCCTGCATGAGGTAGGCATGGCGGCAGTCTGGCTGAAGGTAGGCCAAGTGGTAGGCTGAGAAAGCGAGAATTTGATGAAGGAGGAAAGGGTAGGAGAGCGCCTCTCTCGGGACGTCATATTGGAGAGTCTTCTGGGCTAAGGAGGAGTGCGAAAAGGTTCGATAAGACACCGAAGTATAATGGTGCATAAGCTCGAGATCAGAGATCCATCCGCTAGCCGTCTCTGTCTTATTGAGGTCGGTCAGGAACCTCGAGAAGTAAGGAAACGGGTCAGACTGCGACGAAGGCGAAGTTTGGCCTCCTCCGCCGGAGCTAGACGCGCTCTGTTGGCCCCCGAGTGATCCGGCGGCAGACTGTGGCGAGAGAGAAGCAGGAGACTGCGCGCTTGACCGGCGTCTTAGTGCCGACGCCGAGCCCTAAGAAACCCCAACGGCGCGTTAGTTTGCGAAAACGAGGCCCTCCCCAACACCAACAAGGCTGGTGAGGGGGGGCAAAACTGGGGGTTAGGGGAGGAAGCTTACGCGCGAACCCGACCTCTTGGTACGTTGCCCTGGCGGCGGCAGGTGAGCCATGGACTGAGAGGACGCGCCTGTTGGCGCTCCCGCGTTTTCGAGACTACATGGCAAGCCATGGCGTACACAAGCGCTGCAAGGCTTGTTCTCGTCACACTGCGTGGGGTTCATACTCGTTAGTCTCGGCCGAATGTACACAGCGCAGTGTTGAATGTGATAGAATGGAGAGGCCAGATGAAGATCAACGACTTCATCACTGGGACTTGGACTCTGATGACATACTTTGACTCTTCTCTCCTTGCATCTCAAGCACCCATTGCGTGATTTCCTGTAACCCAGTCGCTTCATTGTGATGTTGTGGCTATTGCTGCAGAGGATTCAAGACCAAGAAAACACATCGAGGCCTGATAGAGCAAGCACCCGAGAACGAAGACGGTAACGAGGTAGGGAGGAACAAGGTCCAGTAAATAAGGATGAGCCGGTGGGGTGAGGTATCTTTGCGGATCGAAGTGTGTTCCCTCTGTTTATACAGAGCAGGCCGAGGAAACCGCTGCAGTCGGCGACCCGCGGCCAAGCTGTGGGAAGTTATTCTTATGTTGAGCCTTGTCGAACGTTGTTGCGCATCCCGGCCGAGCGAGCCTAGGGCCGATGTAGAAGTCGACGGGTGCGCCCAGGATTTTCGTCCGATCTAAGGTGACCGGGGTGTAGGGGACAGGACAAGGGAACGGGGAGAACGGATACAATCAGGCACGAATAACGCGGTACTGACGCATCATTGTCTTCTGAAGAGCGAAGCAGCGGTACGTTTCTATGTATCTGTAGATATGGATAGAATATCTGCGGGAATGCCAAGCCTCGAGTCTGCCCTTCGCACATCAACAATGAAATTCAACCCCGCCAGGACTGGGGTCCAGCTGGTGTTTAACCCAGTTACAGGATGTGTAGTGCGAAGCAGAACAAGGTAGAGGGATGTTGAAGAATCGTCAAGGGCAAAAATGGGAAGAGAAAGAAAAGAGAATGTAGAAGAGTGAAGCTTACTAGGTTCCTTGGTATCTTCGCGGTGTTTAGGGGGGGGAAAGCGACGGTGTCAGCAATGCGGAACTGAGTCGTGCCAAGACCTCCGGCGTGCGGGCGGAGATACCGCACTCTGGCCCCAGTTTACCGTACGGATACAGTAAACGTGTGAATATTTCCTCAAGAAGAAGAAGAAGAAGAAGCTATGTTACTTTGTGTACATGTGTCCGCGGGAGGAGCGGCGGTTGCAGTCGGTATGGGCTAAGCCTTGTGTGCATGCGTCAGTGTGGGGATGCCCATCCATCACACACTTGACATCACCCCCGAGTTAGTTGTTCGGTCTTGACAACATCTAGTGCACCGTCTTCAACGTGGCACTCCCAGGCGCATTGACAGCCTTGCATGTGCTGGCTGAGAATAGAACCAGTGAAACGGCGTCTTTGGGATGTGCGACCGGCGACGGAATGGGACGAAAGGTTCACGGACGTTGGAGAGGGAGGGGACGATGGGGACCAGAAGGAAAGGTGGTGGGTTGGGGGCTCAAAGGCAACAGAAAGAATAGACGCGAATCGCCAAGACTTTGGGTAAGAGGTTGTGTGTCTGGTAGAAAGCTTTTCATGAATCCCCTCACTCGGTGAAAACACCATGGTTGAACGAGCCAAGGCCTGTTGTCGTCAGTTGACACTCTCATCCCCTTTCGCCAAGGCCTGGCTCAGCCTAATGAGTACATGTAGCATCTAAGCCTCAATCTTGCGTCGCCGGATCGCCGGCCTCTTCCAAGGTTCCATTCCCTTTCCCGCGCCCACAAGTTGCAACATTTAGAGTTATCAGGTCCTTCAGGCTTCAGGAAACGCCGTAAAAAGTCTCAAGTCGGCGGAGGCCAGCCAAGATGGGCAAGAATGAGATGGAGAAAGTGACAGGGAAACATCGGGCTACGGCAGGGTCTTGGCAGATACTCTGGTGCGTGCTGTGCCTCCCGTGGAATCCGTGGGTATTGGGTGACCGGGGGAGAAAAGCCACGACCGCGCCGCGGTCCATCTCCTTCAGATGAAGACAACCCCCGACCAGTCGCCGGCCGTATAGACCAGTCGGCGATTGGCTTGGCGAGGGTCGCCGACCAATTGTTATGGAGTCCGAAAACGAGGCTGCTCCACGCCTTTAACTGGGATCATGTCTCGTACGTCGTCGGGGAAAGACTTCTACTATCCCCTCAACCCAATCATGAGGTGTATCGATCTGATTATTCCAGTTAGTGGGCCTGATGCGATCTCACTCTAGGCCTAACTCTGACTAGCAAACCATACTGACTTTCTGGTAATGAGGTCCCTGAACCGATGCCGCAAGCTGCAACACCTGTCAATCTACGGATACTCGGCGCTAATGGCACAAGCCTCTTTAACGTAATCTAACTAGACTCTATGCGAATCCTTACAGAGGACTCATAGCTGATGGAAAAATGGGATTTCGTAAAGAACACATGCCTACTCCGTACTCCGTAACGTAACGTGGGACTATGTCTTCCGGGCGACATAGAATGCCCGGTGCTTACATTACTCATATTATGAAACCCGGTGGTGGACTTGTCACGAAACCCGTCGCTGGCGACATAATGAGGCCGATAGCACAGCTCCCCTCGTTTTCTCTTCTCGTTCTCGTTTCAGGGTTCGTATATCGTATTCTGCGTATGAGGTACGGTTCGAGGCGAAGCAGAGATAGCTTCGTTTTGTCGTCAGCTTCAAGATTCGTAGATGCAGCGATAGGAGAAGCGAAAGCTGACTAGCATGGAGTTTGATATATCCAAGATGGCGGGTTTGGTGCTTAAAGACGTGCACATCTCGTCTAGAAATAGGGAACATGAAGAAGAAACAATGCCATCAATTATAACAAGTCTTACCCTACTTCAACCGTCGAATACTTCAGTAATCTTCGCCTCTGGTATTTTTCGAAACCTTCACCTTCAGGTTGAAAGATCTCGCCCCGCACAGATCACAAGATGGCCAACGACTACTACAAGTACGACCCTTCGCTTCCTGCGGCAATCATCTTCACAGTCTGCTTCGGTCTGTCCGCAATTGGCCATGCCTTTCAGATCGTGAAGACGCGAACATGGTACTTCATCCCATTCTTCATCGGTTGTCTTGGTAAGAATTTGAAGTGCGCCCCTGCTTTTCTGGCATCACTAATACGTCTTACTTTGCAGTTGAGATCATCGGTTATGCTGCACGCGCGATCAATGCTACCGAGACCCCTAATTGGTCAAGAGGTCCATACATCATCCAAGCTCTACTGTTGCTTCTTGGACCTCCTTTCTATGCAGCATCAATCTACATGATCTTCGGACGATTGATTACACTGCTTGATGCCGAGAAACACTCGCTCATTCGAGTCAAGTGGATTACCAAGCTGTTTCTCCTTGGTGACATCATATCGATTGCCGCTCAAGCTATTGGTGAGAGATGAAGACTGCCTTGATGTATGTAACCTTAACGGCTAACGATTTCTCTGAGGTGGCGGCTCTCTTGCGGGTGCTGATACGAAGGCGCAGAGAGATCGCGGGCAGATGATCATCATCATCGGCTTGGCTATTCAGATTGCCTTTTTCGGGGTTTTCATGATTGTGACCGTCTTGTTCCATTATCGTATCAAGCGTGTACCCACCTCGAGGAGCTTATCGGTCTCAACCCCTTGGCCAAAGCTACTGATGGTTCTCTATGGAACAAGCTTGCTCATCATGGTCCGATCCCTCTTCCGAGTTATTGAGTATGTCATGGGAGAAGATGGGGAACTTCAGTCGAAGGAGGTGTACCTTTACATCTTTGATGCCCTAATGATGCTGATTGTGTCGGGGGTTTTCAACTGGTTTCACCCTTCCCGGATTATCAACAAGTCACATGGCGAGATCGTTCCCAACTCGGACTCCGAGAATCAGCTCGGGAACTATTCTATGGATTACCGAGGGGGCGTGCGCAACGACAATATTTCTCATACAACCGAGACAAGCCACTACTTGCGCAAGTAAGGCTTCTTCCAATCATCAGAGGCAATAGACCTCCACTTCTGCGAGCTGATGAGATTCATCAGATTGGCTTCACGAGAAATGTGACGGGATTAATGGTGGATGGCAACACCCTCTCGGTCATCATGGGTTGGGGGAGTATCATACCTAGACAGAGCTGAGATTTCTTGGAAAGGGAGCTGCTTGGTTTCATTTTGTTTCCGCATTGTTGAGGTCGTTCTGGTCACATCAACATTCGATTGATATACATAGAGATTGCATGTTAACTAGAGTATGTATTGAAGAAGTATTTGCATTTACCTTGCTAATCCTACACCCGACTTATTTCATAGTGTAATTGTTAGGTGATGTGACAAGAAACCCCCGATCTACCCAAATCCTAGCAAGCCGTCTTACTCCACCTGTTTCTTGGGGATTATCAACATGGGATGACGGTCTGGACCGCTTCGGGCCAGTGCCGGTGGCAGCTGTTCGACATGGAATAGTGAACTTTGCTCTCTCGGAGCACTATGAAAAAGAGCTCGATTATCCCCGACTTGGCATGTCAGCTCCCAATAGTTGTTTGGAGACAACGGACGTCGGACTACATACTGGGCCCTCATATTGTGTGACTTGGCATGCCAAGTATGCTCAAAGCTGCGAAAGACCCTGAGTGTTGCGGTTATTGCTTCACCTGGATCGACCGTTGATCACTCTGCGTCAGGAAGCTTCCCGCGTGCTTATTGCTACTGGGATCATAGCTCCTCACGGCTTGGCCAACAGCTTGGTTCTGAGAAAGCTGAAGTTATGGTTGAGGAAGCTGCTCGCGATCTGCCGAATTACTAGCCCAATAGATGCATCTCACCTCCTTTGACATGCCGTGAGTCTCAGGGATGAACCTATCACGGAAGTAGACTCTTACATCTCTCGCTATGCTACAAAGCTGCCAATGAAACGTTAGACATAACAGCTTGCTCGCCATGTTCTTCCTCGTGAAACTGCCAGTTCAGCATCGCTTGTTTATTAATAGTAGTAAGTACTGTGAGGGCAT